AGCAGCCAAAGTGATCTTTTTCTCAAATACTAATTCATTCCTTGCACAAATCCCTCCAAGGATTCCTCGTTTAGTCAGAGTAAAAGCTAGAGTCCCTACTATGACCTAAGAGCCATATGTGATCTGTCCACTTGTCCCCTTCCCAATGACCTCTCTGGTTTCATTGTTTATCTCTCACTCACTTACTCCACTCCAGCCACACTGGCTTCTTTGTCATTCCTCATCCGTACCAAGCCTGTTCACACCTCAGGGTCTTTACACTTACTGTTCCTCTGCCTGGAACACTCCCTCCTCTCCACCTTGAAATCATCTTAGCTTATTCCCCCACTTCCTTTAGGTCTCTGCTCAAATGTCACCTTCTCATTGACACCTTCCCTAACCACCTACTTTAAATTGCTATACCTCCTGACCTCAGTACTCCCTAGCCTCTTTTTCTTTTTTTCTCCAAAATACATAATATACTCTATGTTTATTATCAGTACCCTACTACTAGAATTAAGCTCCATGAGAACAGGGACTTTATATATTCTGCTCACTGTATCTGGTACATAGTAAGTACTTAGTCAATATTTATTGAATGAGTAAATGGAGTTATATTCTTCCTAGGGGTTTAAATAAAAACGGTCTCAAAGCCATATTCCAGAACGCAAATTCAAAGGTAACCTATCTTTGTCCTAGTCTAGATTAATTCAGCAAATCCTTCTCCCCTCAAACAATACCTTTAAAGAACACTCCCTCTAATTTTTCTGTAGCTGCGGATAGACAGCCATGTCATTGAGCAACAAACTGAGCCAACTTAACCAGACTGTAGCATTATAATCAAATAAAACTTACAGCAAAGTTAATCAGACACATATTTAATGATACGCATAATTGTTATTGTGCTGCACAGTAACTAGGCATAAATGGTAGACACTTCTTGTAAATGACTCTAATTACTATTTCTTTTACACAGCTGAACCAAGCATGCCTAGGATCAGAATCAGGAGAAAACAGGAAGGAGGGGAAAGCTGGATACTTAACTCTGGAAGGTAAGTCCTCTCACGCCATCCCCTTAGGCATTGAGCTAATGGTCTCCCAGCCTGGGTTGTATGTTTTCAAGATTAACTTTTCCCCCTCTATAGTAGGAGAGGCTTCCTTTTACCAAAGATTGAAAAATTAGGCTGAGGGCCTGGCCTCTGTCGACAGTCATAAAGTTGAGAGGAACCAGAACAATCACGACCGTCTCTGACAAGGAAGACCAGGGCAGACAAGCTGGTAGAGAAACCAAATAAAGACACAAAACTTACTGAGGACCTACTATACACCAAGCACACTAGTAAGTACTTTGCATAATTCCTTTAACAACTTCCCCACCCTCCCTATAGCTGCATGCTCTGTTCCCAGGAAAGTAGAGGAGTAAGCAGAGTGGGACAGTTCCAGGGAGGACTCCCTGCTCCAAATTCTTTCATAGGGCCTAAAATGTCACCAGAGAGGGTAATTTAGGTTAGCAAGCTAACATACTAGAAAGATTAAGAGGAAGAAGCTCTTGTTTAGTGGCCTTATTTCCTATCTTATCTAACCCACAGGAGGATAAAGGGCCCCCTACTTTCCTATTGTTTTATCCAAAGCCATCCAGCCTTCAAGCCCAACTAAGCCCACTCTCTCTGAGACATCATCCCTATTCACTGCAGCTCTCCTTTTTCTGACTGCACTTACTGTCAGGGACATTCATTTGGGTACACAATCATTCACTTTGTGTCGTCTTCTAATTATGGTCCTGGGTTAATGCTTATCTCCCCAATGAAACTGCAAGCTCCTTAATGGCAGAAATCTTGTCTTAAACTTCCGTAGTAACTCACATAAGGTCTAGCACCATTTTTTAAAAAGTGTTTCTTAAGTATCTGGATGAATCAAAGGTAAGTAGGAAGGCAGTAAGTGATAGAAAGGAATCAAATTTCTGGTTCTAGGTAGGTAAGTTGGTGTTGAAAATAAATTTGTAGTATTTTAGATTTTTCTTTATTGTACTTCTGAACTAATTTTTAAAACATATTTCCCTATTTGAAAAAGAAAGTGTGGCTGTCATTCAGGATACAGCAGACATCTTTGGGTGGAGCTCTGAGACACTTGAATCAGAGCTACATGACATATAGTGCCAAGAATACAAGAGCTTCCAATTATATCAGAAAACACACTTACATCTATGTCTGAAAGAGTCCTCAAGACTAGAGTGTAAATCCAAATGAGCAGCATTAGACAGGGTCAATGACCCTTGGCCCAATGGAATAAAGAGAACCTGAAAGGCTTTCCCTGAATGAATGACAATGCAAGTCTCAGTCTACTTTGCCCAACAATGGTGTCAGCCTCTCAACAAGTTCAATGAGAAGGTCCTGGCTCTGGTGGTACAAGTCTGCATTTGGTTTGAGAAAACTCAGAAACAAGTCTGAATCAATTTCAACAGCAAACAGTTGGGGTTGTGAGTTGCCCCACCACAGCCAAGTAAGGAAGAACAGTCTTAAAAGCACTATCATATGGCTGAAAGACATCTGACAGTAATGAATACCAAGCTTCCTGTTTAAGCACAAACTGTCAGAGTTCAGTCTGGGAGATGTCAGTAGGAGCTACTCTGTGCGCTACTCCTTACTTAATAATTCTGATCAGAAGGAGGTCATCTATTTCTAGAGCTCAAGGGACATTCAGCTACTCAAACTCATCTATTTCTGGACCTCAATGCTAAGTAGGGTTTTGACTCAGATAACTAATACCAGTTGGGTAAGTATATTTGGTAAGATAGAAAAGATAGGTTCTTCCTTCTCTGATCATCAAATGCCCAGCCCAGAATTTTTTCAGTCACTGGGACTCAGCTAAAAATCAGACTAAAGAGCAATGTCAAGTTAAAACTGCATCTAGAATCCTAGTCCTTCAGTGCTCTTCTATTAAAAGGAGTTGATGACTAGATTTAGGTCTTCGATTTTCATTGTATTTAAAAGACTACAATGCTATTTATAAAGACCTTTAAAAATGATGACAGGGGTTGGCCCGGTGGTGCAGCAGTTAAGTTTGCACATTCCACTTTGGCGGCCCGGGGTTTGCTGGTTCGGATCCCAGGTGCAGACCTATGCACCGCTTGTCAAACCATGTTGTGGCAGGGGTCCCACATATAAAGTAGAGGAAAATGGGCACAGATGTTAGCTCAGGGCCAGTCTTCCTCAGCAAAAGAAAAAAAAAAGGAGGATTGGCAGAAGAGGTTAGCTCAAGGCTAATCTTCCTCAAAAAAAAAAAAAAAAACATGATGACAGAATCTTTGCCTAGTAATTCCACTATTGGGAACAGTAACAGTAGCTGAAAGTTCTTAAGTACTTACTATGTGCTAAGCACTTACCTTAAAATATCTAATTTAACCTCACAAAAACAGAATAAGGTCATTACTATTATTTGACAGATGTATAAAGGGAAGCTTGGAAACTAGCACAGGGTCACACACTAGTAAGTGACAGAGGTGGGACTCAACCTCAGACTGATTAGACTCTAGAGCCCATCTCTCTTACTACCACCAAACTAGAAATATATCCTTGGGAAATAAGTCTAAAATACCGCAAAAACTTTATGCATAAGAGACTCAGTGTTATGTAAGTATAACATGGCAACTTGAAGCATTCTAAATACAAAACAGTTAAGTAAATGGAGGCAATCTGGATTACAGAATATTATGGAGGCATTAAAAATATTTTTACACATAACTTTTAATGACATGGGAAATTTTATGCTGTAAGTATAAAAGACGCACATTTCAACAGTGATGAATGGCAACTAGACTTTTGGTGGTGAACGCAATGTAGTCTATACAGAAGTCAAAATATGATGATGTACACCTGAAATTTATATAATGTTATAAACCAAGGTTACCTCAATTAAAAAAACGGAAAAAAAAGAACACAAAATTTTATATATAGTGTCAGAGTTCAACTACATAAAAAATATCTCTGCACATGGAAAAATCTAAATTTACTGCTAAATAAAAAAGGCTAGTTGTAGAATAAAATATATATAGCATGGTCCCATTTATGTAAATAGTGCCTGTCTCATTTTAAGTATTCAATAAATGTAAGCCATTATTATTACTATTATTATAATGAATACATACTACTTTATAATCAGAAAGATAAATTATAAGTTTAGGTACTTCTTTAATAAATAAGAAGTGTATTATTTCAGAAAAATTAAATAACATGTGGCTTTCTTTCCTAGAAATCTTAACTTACACAATATCTCACAATTATACAATTTTAGATTAAATACCTCTAAGTCATGGGAAGCAAGTAGCACTAAGAAAAACACTGCAACCCTTCCAATCATCTAAGGCATGGTTACATTCAGCATGTTGGACCACAGCGAGCTGGGCTGATACCATTATATTTAAAGTTTAAAGTCCTAGACAGAAAGGCAAGATGAGGGGTGGAATTTCAAGGGCTATGATGAAGAAGCCAATATCTCACACTGCACCAAAACTTAAGGCTTTTGGTGCACTCTTCAAGAGATAACCAACAACTCCAGGGTAGGACATGAATGGAAATTAGGGATATTTTTCAGCTGTTGTCTTTAGGTAGAATTTCCACACACACAAAAAACCCAGAAAGGACTTAATTTGAATGAAAAAACGGGCAACTCTAGAACTTAGTTCCACAAATTCCATAGCAGTCTCAAGATTTGGATATATAAGTTGAAATGCAAGGTCCATGGCATTGCACTAATTTTTGGCCTACCTATGGCAAAAATTAGTTGAAACATTCAAAGATGAAACACTTTTCCTTTCCCCTTGTCCTTCTATGCAACAAAATAATACATCTGCCAAAGTAATAAAGAGCATGAAAAATACTACAGAATTAACAAGACAGAAAAAACAAAAACAAACAAACCAACAACTTTAACTTTGAAGAACAGGTGAAGAAGAGTTTCCTGTACTGTACTGTACAGGATTACAAAACCAACACACAGACTTTGGCTGTCCTGATAAGTCTTACCTGAATCTTGCCCCATTGGCCCATTGCAGTACATGGCATGTTGCTCGATCTTTGAGCGGGGAAAGCCTTGGCCACATACTGGGCAGGATATCCGGGTAGTGGATGAGAAGGTAGAAGTAGGTATTTCCTTCTCAGTGTCTTCCCTGTTACCAACCTGAAAAACATGACAAATGGCAACTGTAACAGCTTTACTTTATAAAATCTCTTTTCCTCCAAAGAATTACAAGAGACTCCATCCCATATTTCATTTACTTTCAAAGAGACAATATCAATCAGTTTGCCAAATTCAGGACTGAGTATTGGGAGATACATTAATATAGTTAATACTTATTCAGTGTCTAACTACTATGTGCTAAGCACTCTGCATGTAATACTCATTTAATCCCCACTGTAATCTTACAAAGGTATTAAACATACCCTTTTTACAACTTAGAAAAGCACTGTCCAGAACAGTAAAGCAACTTGCCCAAAGTTACAGAACAAAGAAGTGACAAGAGCTGAAATTCAAACCAAGGACTATTTGGCCCCCAACCCTGAGGGCATTCCTCTCTCTTACACTGCAAGGCACTGTCCTCATTGGGTCAGTATGCTGTGTCTGCTGTGTTTCAAACAATCTGTAATTCAACAGCATCTTAAAGACACTTTTTTCAATCTCACAAAAGAACTCTGATAATTCTAAGTGACTTCGGACAAAAGGAGTTAGAAAACAAAAGAGCTCTAAGCAAAAGGAGCCCAACTAAAATTTAAGAACCTAGGCCTCAGCTTAGAATAGTAAGACATATCACCTCTTGTGTTTTATTTGTGACTTTTGGATTGAAAGAGAAAACACAAGTACAACCCAAATATTTAAGAAGGCCTGAAGAAAAGTCATTAAGACAATCCACCAAAGCCATTCTTATACCTTCTCGCTCTTCCTCCTCTCAGTGTTTTATTGTCATCATTTTTTCCTATAGTCGCCAGTGTCTCTGAGAGGCAGTTTTATTTTACCTTTACAGGTCAGAGCTGAGAAGTGTGGAGTGATTAATTCAACAGTATGCCTGAGCACTGCGGCACTACTGCCTAACACTTGCTTCAAAGGACAGCATGTCCTATCCACTCAATGTGAAACTGTCCTGCAAAGCCACTGCTTCCATTTAAGAGCAAGGAGCACCTGGGCTGTCATTACATCTTACTATGGGGAAAAAAAAATAAACCCTCTTCTGGTACAAGAACAAAATAGGACCAAAACTGCAATGAGTAGATAATTTGAGCTCTGAGTCAATTGGATTTTTTTTGGTCTCTAAGTTTAGGCCATCCCTAAAGTCTACTGCTTGTAATGTGATCCAACAGAGAGGGAAATGGGCCATCTATATACCAAGTCAAGTAGTTTCTACAACTGCGAGAAAATGTCATTTTCAACACACTGGTCTTTTACTTAAAAAGACATACTCTGAAAGGGAAAAAAAGAAAGATAAGAAAGAAACTAACAGTGGTTGAGTTCCTATATTATTTCAGGCTTGGCTAAGCATTTTTCACATTCATCCCTCACAACAACCCAACCAGCAGAGGCATCACTAGCTCCAGCATTACAGAAGACAACATTGAGGCTTGGAAAGGCAAAGTAACCTGCTGATCACAGTTAACACGTGGACAATCAAGACTCAAACCCAGGCCTGTGTGGCATCAAAACCTTTAGACTCTCCATTCCACCACGTTGAGGCAAAAGCAAAAAGCACTCCCTCCGTTCTGTTTCTGGAAGCTGACCCTGCCGGGTACTGGGAGACTATCTGGTTCTATTCTTCTTCTCTAGAAGGTGGGGAGAGTTAAGAGCGTCTGAAAGTTCTAGGTGGTATTTATTCCAAGCTTAGTCACTGAGCTTCTCACCAACCCAGGTTCCTCTGTTCATAAATCTTACAGGGAAAAGTTGTCTTGTGCATGCAAAACCATTTGAACAGAGGGGCAAAAAATCAATATACCCTAAAATTTGCAAGTAGTCTTGACTTCCTGAAAGTTAGTGGCAACTGGCATTCTAAAGTTCACTAAGCACAGAAGTGTTACAGGACATGAATGTCACTGGTGCTCACACCCGTGCTATACTCCTTTGTATTCATCACCAGCTCTATAAAATATAGAGCATGTACCTTCAACTATTAATGTATTCAAGAGGGAGCAGTCTATTATTGTCTTATTGTGAATACAAGACCACTTCCAATCATATTCATAGGCAACCAAGAGGTTTCTGAACATTTTTATATTAAGATTCTTTCCAGCACCATTAAAAAAGTCTATTTAAATATTAACTGCAATGGAGGAACCTCAAGAGGAAAAAATACAAGCGAAGCAGCTTTCATTAGAACCAGGCAATCAGGAATTCAGTCTCTGCAGAGCTGCTTCTACTCCTTTTAAAATACTATACAGTCATTTCTCAAAAGAGGTACTTGGACACCGAATCTTGATCTCTTAAAGGTTGGTCCTTACCTCGTGGCCTCAAAAGAAATCTCACCTCAAGAAACAGACCCAGTGAAAATAAAAGTATGTCCTACAAATCACCAACCTCCCCATTCCCTCCAGTTTTATGTGTAGCTTTGAAAGCTATTTGTTTGGATGTTTCTCCTCTTATCATAAGGACTCAACACAGGTTACTTAAAAACCAACTGATGAAACTGACTGTGAATATAACTCATCTGAGAAAAGAATATCTGAGACTCCAACTGAGGGAAACTCTCAGGCAAGATATTCAAAAATCATTATTTCCAAAGGAACCTGACCACTGCTGGAAATGAAATCAAGGGGGATCACAATTCTGCCACGGGTATTCCAAATACTTCAAATACTGTTGAGCAAGTCTCTGTCATTAGTAAGCGAATATGTGAACAGCCACAATACATTACAAAGCAGTAAAATAATAACTGGTTCCACATGTATACCTCTACTTGTGCCAAATACCTGCTCTGTTTTATATTCTTTATCTAATTTAATCTTCAGAGCAACCCAGAAAAACAGGTTATTTTTGTCTCCATTTTACATATGAAGAACTGACATTCAGAAAACCGTTCTTCTTCTATGCTCACCTAATGCCCTAGGCATCTATCTATCATTACATTTGTCAGACCACATTATAATTATAATTATCTGATTATGTGTCTATTTCTTCCCTTACCAGGACCATTTAAGGGCAGGGACTATTTTTTTCTTATTGATCTCAAAAGTCTAAAATAATAACTGGCGCACAGTATACACACAACAATATCTGCCAAATAAGTGAATAAAACAAGTAATTAAATAATCTGCCCAAGAGCCAGCCCGTATTGCCTAGTGGTTAAAGTGTGGTACTCTTACCACTTCAGCAGCCCAGGTTCGGTTCCCAGGCACAGAAGCACACCACTTGTCTGTCAGCTGCCATGCTGTGGCAGTGGCTCACACAGAAGAACTAGAAGGACTTACAACTAGAATATACAGCTATCAACTAGGACTGTGAGGAGGAAAAGATAATAATAACAATTTGCCCAAAGTCACAAAGTTAAGTGGTGGAGTTGGGATTCAAAACCATGTCTTCTAATTCCAATGCTCAAGCTCCTTGCACTAATGACCCTATATGCATATTCTAAGGGGAAGAGTCCACACCCTTTATGATACTATCTTTGTGCACATAAAGAGATTCTATCTTTGTATTAAGTGACTTGTAACTAGTCATTACTCAATAACTTAAACACTAAAGTATCTCTAATTTCTTTTAATAGAAACTTCTAAGACTATTTAGAGACATCCATAGGTATCAGCAAACAGCAACACCAAAAAGAGGACATTCAATGTGAGAAAGGCCATACAATTCTATCCATTTGATGTGTAGTGGTGCAGGCATATAGACTATAAGTTCTAAATAGGGTTTATGCTCTTTGCCCCAAACAAAGAACAGTCTCCTTCGCAGTCACGGATGGGTAAGAAATCAGCCTTGATTAACTAAAGGCTTGCAGGGCTTCTTCTGTAGGTTAGGATGACTATGTCAATAACACTCTGTTCCCCCAATGCCATTTAGAAGGTTCTAGTCTCTCCCTGGGAAAAGGACCTGAGGCCATTTTGGCAGAATCTAGCAGAAATTTGTCCTTAGTTGCTCTGCTGCAGGGAGTGTCATCATCTCTCCTACCACCACTGGCATCAGGAAATCTTGGTCTGTCAGCTGTGACAGATCAGGTTCCAGGGAACTAAGCAGTGAGCATGATTCATGAAAGCAGAATTTCTACCCAGTTAGCTGCAGTGCAGACACTAGGGAGGGGATCTAACTTCTACCGTAAACACTATTTTCAAAAAATTTTAGTGTATAAAAAGGAAAAAGAGAATGAAGCCTTTCTGAGGTGCTCAGGATAAGATAGTATACACAAATGTTACTAAAATCTTTATTTCCACAGAAAAATTAATTTAATTCTCAGGCTGCTTTCCCTAACAACAGATTTTAAAGATTTTTCTTGAAATGGTAGTTCTTGGTGGTTAAACTGTTTTGTCAGACTCCACATGAAAAACGTACACTGAGAATCTTAATCAGAAGTATGAACCTGTATCAGTCAGCTTTACGGTTGATGCCAGATACGTGAAGTTAGGAACAGTAATACCACAAATAGAGATTTGCTTATTTTATCATGTTGCTATCCCGACTTTGCATTTCTGATCACGTCTAGAAATCACGGCTGAAAGTTATATCGTAATATAAATATAGTGACTTTTTCCAAGGTGGTTCATCTCTGTTACTTATCAGTATACAATGGAAAATATCCTAGACTTGGAGACAAATGTATGTTCAAATTCTAATTCCACCACTATTAGCAGTTTAAATTTGAGCAAATTACTTAAACATCCTAAGCCTGTTTCGCCATCTGTAATAGAAATAATAAAGCATATTACAGTACTCAAGAAATGGTAACTACTGTTATTTTCAAAAACGGTGCTGAACTGATCTTAAATATAAGAATCTCTCTCTGAGATAAGTGTCCCAAAAGCTACAACCCTCCATCACCTAAATCTTTTCAGCCAAGGTCAATGTTGCATCAGAGAGAGGAATACTCATAGAAAGTAAACACTGAGAAAAACTGTAGAGAATATTCACCTCCTTATCTGACATTATTAATGCATCCAGGGTCTCTCTGCTACCTGCAGAGACTTCTCTTTCAAGGTCAAAAATTTCAGGGGAACTTAGCTGTGTCTCTGTAATTAAAAAAATTAAAAGCTCATTAATTTTCAACTTGAAGTTTCATAGTTAAAAAAAAACATAAACACTTATTTCCCCTAAATTTAGGGTATGATAATACTGCAGTGGCAATATAGATCTAATTAGCTTCTTCTTAAAGCTTTACTGAGGCATAATTTACATATAACAGAATTCACCAATTTTCAGTATACAGTTTGATGAGTTTTACAAATGTATATAATTTATATATGGTATCATTTATACCACATAACCATCACAATCAAGATATAAAACATTTCTAGTATCCCCCCAAAATTCTAATGTACCCCTTTGTAGTCAACCCCCTCCCACCTGGCTCCTTGCAATTACCAATTTACTTTATGTTCCTATAGTTTTCCCTTTCTAGAAAGTCATATAAATGAATTCATATAGTGTGTTGTCTTTTGTGCCTGACTTCTTTCATTTAGTATAACATGTCTGAGAAGCACCCATGTTGTTTCATACATCAGTAGTTCATTCCTTCTTACTGTGGAGTAGTACTCTACAGATACATAACAATCTGTTTATCCATTCATCATTTGGCTTCTTTCCAGCATAGTTTTGGTTGTAAAATATATTTACTTTGACAGAAAACAAAAACCTGCCAATATTAGTTCTGAGGTTAAAAGGATCATCAGAGAAGACAAAAACTGGGAGCAAAAATAGAAAATACATTCTAGACAAAAATATGCCTTTAATAGATTCTTTAAGCAGTATCTAGTCATTCAATATTAATTCGACAAACATATATGAACAACAGGTTCCAGGCACAGTACAGGCTAATAGTAATATGGAGATGTTAAATGGAGTCCCTCATATTCTGTTTCAAGGGTCAGCAAACTATAGCTCATGGGCCAAATCCAGCCAGCTGCCTATTTTCGTAAATAAAGTTTTATTAGAACACAGCCACACTCATTCTTCTTTGTATTGTCTATGGTTACTTTTGTGCTAAAATGGCAGAGGTAAGTAGTTTCAACAGAGGCTGTATGGCCCACAAAGCCTAAAATATTTACTATCTGGTCTTTTATAGGAAAAGTTTGCCAACCTCTGGTCTAGATACCTATCACTTAATGCAACAAAAGAATAGTAACTATATTTCAAAGAAAGACAATAAATCTGGAAAAGAATTTTATCTCAGAACACAAATCCAGTAAGTGCTCTGTTATCTACACCGTACATCTAACTGGTACGTCTGTGCTTCACAAATACAATGAATGGCCAATGTTGGGCAACTAAAGTACCTGCAAGAAACTAAAGTATGTTCTCAATCATCAAAGAAGGATTAAATATATTTCTAATGTTAACTACATTTTAATACATATTTTTTTGAAAATTGGATACACACACACAGATTTTACCACCTTGTTGGAAAAAGGCTTACACTACACAAACTTCAAAATCTTCTCTGTCAAGTTTCCCTGAGAGATATTACCAAAAAAGAATTCGGCCTGTTAGAAAACAAGAGCCACTCAATGCTTGCACTACTGTAATAATAAAGTCTTAAAGCTTTCTGTGAATGGCTGGAATGTTCAATTATAAACACAACTTAAGAGGAATTAGATCCTTAGAAATAAACAATGCTAGCAGCATGTGCAATGTGGGCATGAGACTATAATCCTGCTTCTTCAATAAAGTGAATAACTCCAAAAAGATGTTATCATTTTAAAGATCAGACCCCTGGAACAGTCAGAAATATGAGACAAAATAGGTAAGATGAACTACTACACTCAGTCTGTTTCACCCATTTAGAACAAATTGTTCAGACAATTTAGATGCATAGTTTCTAAACTATATATTTAAAAAGAGACTCAGGAGTCTGGCTCCATGGAGAAGTAGTTATACTTTCTTAGCAAAAGGAACAGTAACATTATGGAAACCTTTTGCAATCTCATTTAGAAGTGGTTATGTCAGCAAACAGTTGGACTTAATCAGCAGGCTACTGACAGCAAGTCATGATCATAAAAGTTATCTAACCTTAGTCATGAAGGGCTTGCTTTTTCCTCTCTCATTAACTAGGGCTTTTAAGATTATTATATTTGCAGGTTTCTCCAGCGAGATCCTAGGGTGACATCATATGCTATCATCCTAAGTGGACAGATGAGTGACCTCCCAACAGGATGGTATAAGTCAGCAGTCCCAGACAGAGAGGGTGCAAAGTTTTCTTTTCACAAAGATAGTACAGCATTCTTGAGTGCTCCTGCCAAAACTGGAGCACCTAAGTAGTGGGGTCTCTTAGGGGTATCATTAGGCAGTAAAACAAATACATTTCAAGTGAGTTAAGAAACTACTTTCAAAAAAAACCAACACAGCTAAATTTTAAAAATAAGTAAAGAAAGGCCTTTATGATATGCTGCCAAATGTTTAAAAATATTTACAGGACATTCCTAGACTAATGTGTAAACTAAGTTTGAGTCTCTGTGGAAAAAACTTGAAAAAATAAATAAAAAATAAGAAAACTACAAGTCTCTCTGATCCTGAGAGATTATATGAGATCTAAGGGAAAACTAGATATGACTTATGGTAACACGTGTACCATACTTGCTACCCAAAGAGTTTAAACATTAACAGGAAGTCCCTCAACCTCACATGAATGAGGTTACTGATAAATATAAAGGGCCCCACTTTTAAGAAAAGACAAAAAAGAAAATATAAGCTAAAACAAATTCCTGAGAAAGTAGTAATTCATATCACAAAATGATTCTTCATATTATACAAATGATTCAACTCAAGAATTCCCTTACATGGTGGGTATTTTAGCTCATTTTAAAATTATTTTATATATCAAAAATTTATTAATGTGCAACTTGGAGTGACCATCTCTTCTACCTAAAGCAAGGTACATATATCTTCTTTTCATCTCTACAATTAACAAAAAGCAAAATACGCTACTTAATCGGGTTAAGTGTCTTGTCTAAGTCCAAAAATAAGTCAATGACAGAACTGTGCATAAAATTCAATTTCTGGACTCCCTATGTAATAAGAAGTGAATAGCAATGTAAAACTACTAGTAAAAGGCTCTAAGAAAAATCTGCTTAATGACAGGCAGATTTGAAGACAGCCCAACTCTGAGCACCCATAAACTCTGAGAACCCATAAACCAAAACATAAACCCCCTTTGGCTCTGAATATACAGTTAAGTACTATTCCTGATGCTTTGCTACCATCTCTGATGAGGGTGGTAAGCAAACAAGCAGAGAAAAGAGCCATGTTAATTTTAAAACTAAAGCATCTCTATCAAGAGAAAAGGCTGAGAATCAGAGCCAATGTCCATTAAAAAAAGCGTGTGTGTGTATGCATATGTAAGTATATATATACAAGTATGTGTGTGGAGATATACACACACATCAATCACACATAAACCTTCCAAGAGCGAGTTGATAAAGTCAGAAAAATTAATAGGCACAAAAAGGTATATAGCTAGAGATCACAAATACGGTAAAATCACAGTGGGGTGCTTACCAGGACACACGGTGATTTCTTCTGCAGAACTCTCTGGCATAAGGATTGAGCTTCTCTTGCTGATGAAAACAGTAATGCTGAAAAAGAACCAAACCCCAAATGAATTCCCGGTAAAATAAATCAGAACACCAGGGCAAAAGCAATGGTGAGTCATTCACAAAGCCACAAGTAATCTGATACGTGCTGCCCACTACCACAAAAGCACAGCAGGGAAGCAAGGAATCAGTAGTGAAAAACTCCAGGCTAGAAAAAGGAAAAATAAACATGCTTACAACTTCAGTTCCAGTGAAATCACTGAATGAAAAGAACCCCCTTTTGGAATCTTCAAAGGAAAGCTGAAGGGTAAGGACTATCTATGAATACCATGTAAGACAAAAAACTCCACTCCAATATAAGGATGTCAAAGGTGTTTTACAGCCTCCATCTCAGCCTTCTGAAAGGTAGAAATCTGTAAACTCCTAAGAGAAGATATGGAGATTCTCCTGACAACACACTAGCTTTTCCCTCACTTTGCAGTTAAATTTCCTCTTTATCTCAAGATGTGGCTTTCCAAGCAACAAAAATAAGATACAATTCCAAACTGCCCTACAGCAAAAATCTGCCCACACAAGTTGAATATCTATTCTGAGAAAAACATAATTATGAATGGTTTACTCTGCCTGTTCATTGAGTGCAATCTCTTCCTGACACATGAACACATGGCTGAAAGATCTGAGCATCTGAGCTAGCCCTCTCCTGCTTCATAGAGCTTTACAATTAGTCTGATCAAGTATGCAAGAGGACACTTAAAAACACAAATCCTCACATCAACCAACTACCACAGAGAAGAGAGATTAACCACCACTGATTCATGATAAATAACTAAATCCTGATAGGAAACCACAAGTGATTTCTCTCTCTAAATAAAACATCTCATAGCATTTGTTATAAACCCAAGTCAGACACAGTTTACTCCACAAGTAACATTAGAGCTTCATTCAAAGGGTCCATCACAAAACAATTTGCTGACATTTATAAAATGGGCTAATCAATTTGAAGGCAAACCGCATTGCCTGCAATTCCAACTCTCTCCTGGTGACAAAGCATATAATCATTCATTAAAACCCACATCTGCTCTGCATAAGGCTCACCACAACAAAGCATAGAGGCCTGCAGGAAGCAAAGGGCCTACTCCAGTTAAAACCACTTCTAAAACTGTCTTAGCAGGAGAATCAAACCAAAGCCATATTCCTCAGCTCAGGAAGAAATACCTAGTAGTATCAACTTAACCAAAGGTCTAAGAACACCACCTAATTTATAGGAAATGGCAACTGGGCCTCAACTTCCACATGGGAGATGAAGGTCACTCAACACAAAATTAAGCTCTTGACTAATCCCCAAAGGTCAACTACCGGATAAAAGGGAAAAGTAATTGGAAGCCTGATCCAGTTAATAGTGCAATTTGTAGCCAATCAACCACTATATATTATTAAATATAATATGTAATATTATGTATTATTACCGTCTTTTGACTTAAGACGGTAACCCCATCAATCAATCAACAAGAATTGAGAAGGTAATGCAAATACAACCATTTAAGGGAAAGATGAGATACAATCAGATTAAAAGTGGCACAGGACAGGGAGTGAGGGTGATACAGGTACTGTCCAGCCTGAATAATATGAAGGCATCAAGAGGATGAAAGTCTTAAGAGCAGACTTAAAAGATATATACGGTTTGGATATGCAGATGAAATAATCATAAGCAGAAGGAACAAAGAGAGAAAGGGGATGGGAAGACTAGAAAGAACATAAAGAAATCAATCCACAGTCTTCAAACTGGCATAGGAAACTAGTGTAGTCAAGTTAAGAGAGTTGCAGGATGTAACCACTTTTCAGGAATAGTGTAAATGGGATTTGTGACAAGATGGCTGGATTGGACAAGAAAACCCCTAAGATCTCTTCCACCCTAATATTCTAGGCTTTTACACGATGCATATATGAGAACTGGGAAATAATGATTTCTCCTAGCTTGTGCTTATAAAAGAACCAAAAGACCCCTGGCAAGCTGTCCCTATATAGTCTCACTTACGTGGTTCATCTTTCTTATTCTGGCACCCTCAGAGAAGAATTCAGACCCAAACAACACATAATCTTACCTTTGTGAGGCAGGTACAGAGTTTCCTTCTTCAGAAGTTTCTTCAACAAATAGCCCTTGGGAAGACTGCAAACAGAGACAACATCCTAAATATAGAGGCAGGCATAATTGGTTTCTCTTCCTTTTTAAAAGAAATTTAAATTATTTAACATTATCACTCAGCAATTAGCAATAAGAATAAAACATTTTACGTAAGTCAGTAAGTTTCAGTAATAAGAGCATATCCTGTGGAGTCAGAAGACTAGGATTTGCATCAAAAATAAATCACCTATTAACTTTGTAATCTTAGGTAAGTCACACCTGAATCTGTTTCCTCATCTTAAAATGCATATTAACGATTGCCTCACAGAGTGTTACTGTGAAAATTAAAAAGATAATATATGCAACGCACTTTGTAAAATGCAAGATATATAAATATCAATTGGTGAGTCAAATGAATGATGATTTCAGAAAAGCAGTTACAAAGCTTTTAGTGTGGAAGGAGGAAATATAAAAAAAGTCCAGTTTTCAGTGGAAATACTAACTTGGGAAAAACACTGCAATCCATGAAAGAAGTCTCTGGGTACAAGCAAGCCATAACATAAGACATTCCAAAGGGAAGGTTACAAAGATTCCTGTTGCTACAAAATCTGCCACTATGGTTTTGATGTCTGGCTACAGGAATATGTTTTAAGAAATCTAACAAATAGGGATTGGATAAGCGAAAGATTATTTTCTTTGATTAACGGTAGAGTTGGTACACATGTCAACTCATTAAAAGTAGGTGCACAGAACAGAAAAAGCAGCTACTGCTGCCTTAGGAGGACTTCTGAGGCAGTGCCTGGGCTGTGAGGTTTCTTCCAATAGAAGTAAAGCTGAAGTTTTCAGAGTCTCCTAACAGGGTATAAATAACCTAAATAATTTAGGCATCTCTCTACCACTCAGGTAAATAAATGATGAAATATACCAAAAAACAGAAATAGCTGAGATGAGCCTTCAGTCAAAGGGACGATAAAGCTGTACAATGATTGGGAACGTAGTCATTATGAAAAATGAGGGCTGAACAAAACTGTCAAAAGGACTAAAATACAAGAGCAATAAATACTTCACCTGACTATGTGTTTGAACAAAGTAGTGACAAAACACTGTTTCATTCCTGATCTCTCAAAAAAAAAAAAAAGGCGGGGGGAGAGGGTAAATACTAACACTTAGTGTCCATTTAATAGAATTTTACCTTTTTAGCCAATGAAGGCTTGGGCTTTAGAAGCAATCAAGGTACTAATAAGTTATAAGATACCTACACCTCTACTTTAGGCTAAAGCATCACTCTACCTTTCCCAGTAGAAATTTTTTTTTAATTTACTCTATACCTATTATGTGCCAGACCCATGCTAACCACTTTAGATGCAATGTCTCCTTTAATCCTCACAAAAAACTTCTGAGGCAGAAACTATTAAATTATTTTAGGAATGAGGAAAGTGAAACTTTGACAGGTTAAATAATTTGCCCAAAATCAAAGAGGTGGTCAAAAGTGGAGCTGAGACTTATCTGACTCCAAAATCCATGTTCTGACCATTACTGTTATGTTGTTTACTCAAATGATGATCTTCCCAACCACTTCAACATAGAATACCAAGAATGTCTTAACTTCAATAAATCATTTTTCATTTCTCAACTAACACCTCAATGGCAGTAATTGAACACAGGGTAAAATTAAAGTAAGGTTCTTCCACAATATGAAAATAACATAGCAAAAAAAAAAGCAATAAAATTTGATTAGAATACCCAAATCTAAATCAAGGTGAGCAGGGAAGCAGAACAGGAACGTAACTGTAACTAAGGAGGCTGCGGCCTAATCAAGATATTGCACTCTGCCTGAAGAAATAATATGCTAACGGTAAAGGGATAATTTGCAACAACTCTAAAAAAGAAAAATCCAAAGATCCAGAATCAAGCAGTGTCTTCCACACCATGGCCTGGGAAGTGAAAGTGAAGAGACACATCGTCTGGTCACCACAGAAATGTCCTCTGTTATCAGGCACACGTAGCTGTAGCTAATCAGGTCTTTCCATAGACTAGGTGAATCATCCCTTAAAATTTCCATTTTCTGATTACTATTTCAGCTTCCAGATACCTTCACCCTAGAAGGAGGTACAGTAGATGGTAGACCTAAAGTATTCTGGTCACTGAAAATGTCTCTTTCATTTGGTGTGTAACTGTCATTTGGTGTACATATCAGCTTGAAGTTTCATTAGTCAAAGTCAGTTCCCACACCCCCACACAATCTGGTCATTTCTGGAAAATAAATTCCAGTATCTGGACTGAAAAATTACAGATCAGACCCTGAAAAGCAGTGACCACATCAATATACAAGACCCTTCCACCTCCCTGCTGCAGGGCCATCAAGATGACATCTCCATCTTCATTAACAACTTTCCTATTGTCTGTGATGCCAGAAACCAGTTATCATTTGATTCTAAAGTTTTTATAACCTTCATACAGACTAAGTATTTTGCCCCAAGGTGAATGTTTTTCTGAGTCCCTGTTTCTAGGACTCTCTTGCTGTCTCTATCAACCAAGGCGTCTCAACTGTGGGCAGCTCCAGCAAAGCCATAATCAATAGAAAATGTTTAACACAAAAATTGTTTCTAACACAGTTCCTGAAAGCAAAAGACCAAAAGGTGAAATTACAATCATAAGACTTTCATTATGTGCCTATAAAATTAGTAAGTTTATTTCTGTTTGTTTTACTTTTTAAAGATATTATATTCTGTTAGCAAGGCTGCAGTGAACTAGGTAGGCATTCTCATACATTGCTGGAAAGAAGGAATACAAATTTGAGCAACCTTTCTGAAAAGCAATTTGGCAACAAATAGCAAGTCTTTTTTTATGTTCATAACTCTTTAACCCAGCATTTTCTTGCTCCCTATGCCTAAGGACACTAATTTTAAATAAAGAAAAGTTTTATTTAGAAAGATGGTTATCACAACCACAATATCCAGCAATAGGAAAACAGTGAAAATGTTATGGTAAATTCATAAGCCAGAATATTATGTAGTCATTAAAAATGAAATCTATAATTAACTTTTAACATCATAAGAAAATGTTTACATAATGCTAATTTAAGAATACAAAAATACAATAATTTGATCTAAACCATACAAAAAATAGGTATAGAAAAAAAGATGAAAGAATACATCACTGGACGGTAGGATTGTGGATGCTTTCAACTTTATTCCTAATACTTTTCATCATTTTCCAATAGTTCTAAGTGATTTCTAAAATTAATGTTAATGACCACACTGGATACTTACTAGGTTGTCTGCCCAATCTCCTTTTACTGAAGACTGTCCGTCACCCCTCCCATGGCATTCCAGCAGTGGGCTCACAGCCATGTGTACAATTTGACACATACTCACTTCGGGACACAGCCAACAGAGCTGGCGAGGGCTTACTAAACCCAAATGGGCTGTAAGTCCTTTCCTAGAAATTTGAAACTGGAGTTGGGAGAAAGCAAATCTCCTGTAACCTGTATTTAAGTTTGGGAGCTTGTAGGATCAGTGTCTTCCACCTACCATGTGAAACAGAGAAGCAAAGGAAGCCAGTCTGCAGGGAGAAAAATGAAGCAGATACAATACAGCAGCGAGATACAGAAAAACTACAGACAATTTTCCAGGCCCACTACCTTCTCCAGGCTTGGTTACCATCCTGTTTTAGAATTTATGAGGCACGCTGTTTCCTTATGATAAAGTCCTCTTTTTTCTTCAGCTAGTTTGATTTGGTTTGTTGTAGCCAAACAGTACCAATTAACAATATTATTTTTAGTATTTGGTGCCCTGTTCATGAAGACAGAGAACTTCTACCTAGCCTTTGGCTTTTCCAAAGGCACTGTTTTCAAACCTCAGAACTTGAAACAAGTCTATGCTCTAACACTCTGGCCCCTGGGATCTTTCAGAAAGCTAACAACATGAATTACAATAAATTATTAAGTGTTCACTCTGTGGAGTTAATTTATTCTTTTAAGGGGAAGCACCTCTGAAGTGCAAAGAACAAACAAAACGTGCTATCATGAGCATAACCTAACTTTCCTTTGGAAAAGAGGCAAGTCACTAGAAGAACTGTTAAGAAAAATGCTTTCTATTCCCATCTTTCCAGAATGTGAATGAAGAAGGCTGCTAGGGAAGAATGTTTCCCACAGGTATCCTAGATGAATGACCTCTGGTCCCTTCAAGAGAACAACTATCATTTATTGAGTGCCTATAATCTCCTAAGCATTATATTATACTAGGCATTTTATATAGTAATTCACTGTAATCATTAAAACTACTGCATGAATTTCTATTCCCATTTTCCAGATGTAAAATCTGAGATTCAGAGAGGTTAAATGGCTTGCTCAAAGATACACAGTTACTAAAATACAAAGTCGAAATTCAAACTTCAAATCCACGCTATGCTATGAAATCTCATAGCTACCATTTCTTGAACCCTTACTCTGAGAGAGACACAAGTAGGATAACAACAAAACCAAACCAAAACCTCAGAGTCCAACAAGAGAAATAGCAACAAAAAACAGTATAGTCATAAAACAGAATACTCTTTAAAATTATAATTTATAAAAAGTTTGTAATTATATGATTGGTTTATAATATTCAGAGAAAAAAATAGAACATAAGCGTACATATCTATAATGTAATCTAGATATGTCAGAAAAAAAGTGAAAAGGCAACCCAAATGGCCCCAAACAGGGGATTGTTTTCAGTAAATTATAGAAAACCACGACAAGCAAAATCAGAAATATACCATTACATGGGGGGAAAAATAAACTGGAACACTATATGCACTTCTTATCACAAAGGACCACCTCCCCTAATATATAAAAGGTGCCTAAAAACCACAAAAAGAAAGATTATTGAAAGAGAAAAATGCCCCTAAGATCTAAACAGACAGAAAAGGAAATGTAAGTGGGTTTCAACTACATACATAATAAGAAAAATGCAAATTAAGACTGCATTGAGTTACTATTTTTCATCTCTCAGACTGGCAAAGATCAAGAAGTCTTGATAATTCTGTATTGGTATGGGTATGAGGAAGCTGGTTCTCATACACTGTAGTGAGTGTAAATTTATACAACCTCTGTGGAAGGCAATTTGGCAATAGCTAGTAAAACTGCAAATGCATATATATTTTGACCCACCAATTAAATATAAAAGAAATTATCCTACAAATATCTCCCATGTGGATAAAACATCTCCTGTAGAAGAGTAATCGCTGCAGCAGTGTTTGTAATAGTAAAATACTGGAAACAACCTAAATGTCTACCAATAGGGGCACTGGATAAAACACACTCATCCATACATGGTGTATTACACATCCAAAAAAAAGAATAAATTCTTTATCTATTGTTATGGAATGATCTCATAGAGATATTAAATGAAAAAAGCAAGGTACAGAGTAATGGCGTGGCGTATGCTATCATACATGTAAAAGAAGATGAAGAAAACAATATATACACACATTTGCCTGTACTACATAAAATATCTTGGAAGGATACACCAGAAACCAGTAATAAAGGCTGACTCCAAGGAGGGAAACTGATGGGCTGGGGAAGGGGATAGGAGATAGACTTTTCATGTATATCTTCTTGAATTTTGAGCCATGTGAACATTATTACCTATTCAAAAACTTAATTTCTTAGAAATAATAAACATTTTAACACACAAAATTTATGGTATATCTGTATGACAGAATGTTGTCAAGTATACTTAATAAACAGGAAAAAATATAAGATAAACTATTAAGTGAGGAAAGGAACAAAGCTTATACAGAAGTCTTCATTTTGTTGAAAAATTAGAAAAAATATTTTATATGCATATAAATAATGATTATTGCCTCTTGGTGGTGGGATTATGGGTAATTTTTTCTTCTTTACACTCCTCTGTACTTCCCCAATTTTCCGTAGTGAGCATGTGTTACTTCAAAAATCAGGGGGAAAAAAGACCACAAAAAGAACAAACAGCTAAAATAATCCTTGTTTAATCTGTGAATAAATCATCCTTAATCACAGCATCACTGACCCTTACCTGACCATGACTGGTTGTTGGTTCTTCCTCCAACAAAAGTTTCTCTTTCAAGCTTTTAATTGGGCTTTCTTGGAAATCCTTGGTTTTTGAGTGCCAGACAGATGCCCTAGACTCCTGCCTCTCCTCTTTGTCTTCATCTCCCATATCTTCTGAGATGCCTTCATTTTTTTCACTAGCCTGATCTCCTTGGCCACATTCATTCTGGATCAGAGAAGGAGGTCTAGGTAACACTGGTTCCCCAAACTCTCTTTTTTTAAAGAGCTGCCTCTGAGCCATTTTCAGGCTCTTTTGATAAACTTCCAACTGGCAGAGAATGACCTTGGTATACTGGTTAGGGTCTACTCCAGCAGGGCAGAATGGAATACCCCAGAAGTAGTGCACAGTGCCCCCAATGTCCTGGAGACCTTTGGCATCTGCTGGGGTAGGCAGGCAGTGCCTAGATGTGTCCCCCCTACCCTGGGCAGCTTTGTGAAAAGCACAACCCCTCCCAGTACTTTCCTGTGGCTTCCCACACTGTGTGCGCTCAGCCAAGCGGCCAGTACATCTGTCAAAACATTTAACGTTCTCATTCTCAAACACTGGCTGGCTTGACTGGTCCCAGCTTCCTGAGCTGCCAGAGACCGGCTCCTCTTCAGTGTTTTCAGTGTGGTCCCAAGGCTCCTCTCTTTCCTCAGCCTCGTTTCCCTGACTGATAAGTGAGCCTTTAAACAGTGATGGAGGTACCAGCTGCCATATGCCTGTAGGGTATTTGAGAAAAAGTAGGGCTAAGGACAAACTTTTTTATTAAGAGGGCTTGGCAAGTTATCACTTACCAAGAATTACATAATGTGGGTAAAAAAGGCTCTTCTTTGGATTTAACCAAATGTTGGCTTTTCCTTGAAGACAAAACTATGCTGGATATTAGAGAGATCTCAACTACTTTCTGATTTAACCTCTTTAATACCACCAAAGGGATTTGGGGCATTTCTGTCTATCTACTCTCAGCTTGAGATCCCTGTGATATGGTTATACGTGATGAGTGGAAGGAGTCAGAACAGGGAGACATGCCTTCAGTGGTCCCAGAGTCTGTGGTTTTCTCTTGGTGGGACTGTGAAGATGGTCCAGTGGCCACAGGTCGAGATCTTGTAGCAGAAGCATCAGAAGGCCGGCAACTCTGAAACAAGTGATCCCACACCAGACCAGGTTTATTATTAAAATAGCTATAAATGAAGGGTCACAGAAGGACACAAAGGGGAAGCCACTGTCCCTAAGAGATTCTCCTCTCTAAAACAGAGATGCTCAATTCAAATGAATTCCACAGCATGTACTGAATGCCTACTATGTGCAAAGTGCTGTTCTAGATCACTACACTAAACCTTTTTCTAATATAGAGAGGTGAATGGCATAAAGGATGGCTCAGGACCTGGCACTGGCAAATATCCTTCACATTTAAAATAATTTCAGTTACATATATTCAAATCATGATTTAACATTATCTGAAAAATTTTAAAACTGCCCATTCTTTCTCTCCATAACCCACCTCTGGTTCTCATTCTCTTTGCTCTCCCCACCAAACAGGAGAGGTAAGCACCTTATCTTGTTCCCTTTTGGTTTCTTGGTACTTGGTAACTCTCTTTAGAAGCTGCCAACTACTATGGCTCTCTTAAGCCATGGACTGAAAATCTGTCTGGGAGAAGAAAACTCTTTATATAGAATTACCAAAACACTTCAAATTGGGTTCGCCAACAATCCAACATGGACTTTAAAAATTATTTTGGGAAATATGTGTTAGCTGAAAACCCTATAAACTACTACAGCTAGTCCCTAATGCAGCTATAACACTACAAAAGTAAAAGAACGTTGCTGATCAATCCTAACAAACTTTTTCAACATAGCATATTTACATTCAGGCTTTCCGCAATGGCTTTCCTCAAGAGCTCCTCTTCTTCCTCCTCCTGGCTATTCACTTCCCTAGCTTCCTGCTCACTCATTTTGAGAGCCAGAGCAAACTGTTCTTCTTCTGTCATTTCTGTAAAAGGACACAGAAAAGAGAGGGGAGGGACACCACAAACGTTGAATAAGCATGGAGGCAAGAAACAGAATTATTAAACTTTTCAAGTGAAGACACTACAGACCATTTAGTACAATTTCATAATTTTATAATTGAGGAAAGCCCCAAAAGGTAACATGTTAGCTAAGATCAGTAGCAGCAGCTACAACAAGAATCCTGGGTTAACGAGACTGTAAGCTCCCGTGAAAGCAGAGTTTTGCCTGTTTTGTTCACTGTTGTATCTCCAGTATATAAAGGAGTGCCTGGCACCTGGTAATTACTCAGTAAATATTTATTTGGTGAAGGAATAAACAGAGGAATTGACTTCCAATCCAGGGCTTTTTGCTACATATCACGCGGCTTTATGCTCAACATTTAACTGGAATAATTCTATTCTTCAGAATCCTCTGATTTACCCAGCAGAAAAGAACATCCTAGTAACCAGAAAGTGATCGTCAAACACCATTTCCCATTAAAAGCAACTGGAGTACCCTGGAGAAACAGCTGATTCCAAGTCTGGAGCACGAAATGTAGGTGAGCTAGAATAGCTGTCATATCTGTGAGCAAGGAGTCTACCAGACACTACTAGGGTCATATCAGAAGAACTTTAACAGCCAACTTAAAAAGGTTCTGACTGGCCAAAAATGGAACTGGACTATCAATAAGGATAATGAATGCAATTAATTAAAACACATTAAATATGTTCAAATCTGAGCTCATAATGATACTTTAGAAAAAAATACGACTAACTGATCACTGCTGAAGAATGTTAATCAATTACTTTGAAAACTAGTAAATAAAAAGATAGAGAATCAAATTTTTGTCCTACTCTTCCAATACAAGTTATACTACTGGGTAACCAAATAGATGAAAAGAAGTTTCTCTTTAAAGAATTATTTCAGCTCTAAATGTAAAAGAAATTATAGAATATCACCATTTTGTATAATACCTATGGAGAGGATTTTGGCAGTGTCTAACAAACTACATACATGACCCAGCAACCCCAATTCTAGCAATTTACTCTAAAGATATACTTCCAATTGAAAAAAAAACAGTAAATATGAACTACATTTTTCATTGCAGCAATGTTTGAATTTGTAAAACATTGGAAATCTACTTAATAACGAACATAGGACACTGCTTGAATAAACTTTGGTATACATACACTGTAAAAAAGAATAGGGAAGATATATACGGATCAGGAATAGAATGATTTCAAGGATATAATATTAAGTAAAAAAAAAACAAAAATGAAGTATGAAAGAACATGTATATATGCTACCTTTTGTGTATAAAAAGAGAAATAAGAAAATATACATATACTTGTTTACTTTTGCAAAAAATGACACAAGAGGGACAAATCAAAAACTAATCCAAGTGGTTACCTACAGGTAGTTGGGAACAAGGTAGAAGGGATAAGAGAGGGAGTAACACTTCTTTGACTATATCTTTCTGTGTATTTTTGACTTACAGAATCATGTACATGCTAAATATATTTTTTAAAGTAAAATAAAATCAGTAAGGATAAAGGATCCCTAAAACTGAATCCAAACATAAAAAATGTATCCAACTGAATTTGAAATGACTCTAATAGAATGAAAACATACAAAATCTATGGGATGCACTTAATGCAATGCTTACAGGGAAATGTACAGCATTACATGATCATATTAGAAAAGAAGAAAAAGTTTAAAATCACTGATCCAAGCTTCCTACTTTAAGAAGCTAGAAAATGAGGAGTGAAATTAACCCAAAGTAAGGAGAAAGAAATACAGAGAAGAAATCAACGAAACAGAAGATGACAAACAATAGAAAAAACTTAAGCAAAAAATTGGTTCTATGAAAAAGTCAATAAAATTTATAAAGTTCTAACTAGACTGATCAAGGAAAAAGAAGAAAAAACATAAATTAACAATATCAGGAATAAAAGAGGGGATATATCACTACAGATTCTACAGTCATGAGAAGAATAATACTGTGGACAATTCTACGCCAATAAATTTGACAACTTGGATCATGCATTCTCAACAGGGGTGACACATCATTCCCAAACAGACAAAAACTAGTTCTTGGAGGTCAAATATCTTACTCTCTTTATGTATAAAACACAGATAGAGAATCAATACATAAACAGAATATATAGCATTATCTCTGGTATTAAAATTTTATGGGGACAGCAGTGATTAGGAAAAAAAAGTCTAAAGGATCCTTTGGGGAACAACAATGAAAAAAGGACTGAGAGGGGCTGGCCCCGTGGCCGAGTGGTTAAGTTCGCGCGCTCCGCTGCAGGCAGCCCAGTGTTTCGTTGGTTCGAATCCTGGGCGCGGACATGGCACTGCTCATCAAACCACGCTGAGGCAGCGTCCCACATGCCACAACTGGAAGGACCCACAGCAAAGAATATACAACTATGTACTGGGGGGCTTGGGGGAGAAAAAGGAAAAATAAAATCTTTAAAAAAAAAAAAGAAAAAAGGACTGAGAAACAATGAGCTGAAACAAACAAAAAAATTATTGAAAAACACAAATTATGAAAACTGATACAAGAAGAAACAAAATCTCAACAGCCTTATATCTATTACAGAAATTGAATTTGTAATTAAAAACTTTTCCATAAAGAAAACCCTGGGGACATCTGATATTCATCACTGGTGAATTCTACCAAAGAATAAAGAAAAAAGTGGGGCCAGCCTGGTGGCATAGCAGTAAAGTTCACACACTCTGCTTCAGTGGCCTAGGGTTTGCTGGTTCAGATCTCAGGTGTGGACCTACGCACTGCTTATCAAGCCATGCTGTGGCAGGCATCCCACATATAAAATAGAGGAGGATGGGAACAGTTGTTAGCTCAGGGCCAATCTTCCCCAGCAAAAAGAGGAGGATTGGCAGTGAATGTTAGCTCAGAGCTAATCTTCCTCAAAAAAAAGAAAAAAGAATAAAGTAATACCATACTAATTCAGAAAATAAGAAATCAATTCTCCCCAAATTGATTTACAGATTCAACACAATCCCAATCAAAATCCCAACAAGCATGTTTAATGGAACATAATAGAAAATTCAGAAATAGATCCACACACTGAGTTTCAATTGATTTTCAACAAGGAAGGACAGGCTTTTCAACAAATGGTGCTAGAACAATTGGATATCCATAAGGAAAAAAATGAACCCTTACCTCACACTATATACAAAACTTAACTCAAAATGGATCATATATTTAAATGTAAAGGCGAAAACTATAAAAATCCTAGAAGAAAACATAGATGAAAATCTCTGTAACCTTGGGGCAGTCAAAGATTGCTTTGATAAGACCCAGAAAGAAAAAGCCATAAAAGAAAAAAAATGGACCTAATCAAAATTTAAATCTCTTTGTTAAGAAAATAAAAAGGTAAGCCACAAAATGGGAGAACATAGTCACAACACATATAATCTGACAAAGGACTTGTATCCAGAATAAAGAATTATAATTCAATAAGAAGAAAACAAGCAATTTAATTTAAAAAATAAAGAGTAAGGGATCTGAACAGATACTTCACAAAAAAAAATATCCAAATGACTAATAAGCATATGAAAAGATCATTAGTCATCAGGAAAATGAAAGTTAAAATGAGATACCCCTACATACCACTAGAATAGCTAAAAAGAATGACATTCCTAACAAAGTCACTAAGTCAATCAAGAAAAAGCTGATTACATCCTTTATGTTCAACTTAAAAGAATCAAAAACCACGTAATGCAAAAGAGGTAAATCTGAGTTCTTTGTAATATTCTGTTTTTCAAAACACCCTATTCCCTGAAGGCTCTGGAGAGATAAGGCTTTGCTACGTTAACTGAAGTATTCTTCAGACTCTGCCTTCTTCCCAACCATTAAAACAAGAACTTCAATTTAGTAACACAGTCTGACTCTGTTTTCTAGTACATACAGAGGAAGCTCCAGAGCGAGACTGCCTAGGTTTAAATCTTGATTTTTCCCTCTTTAGTTGTGAAATCTTGAGCAGGTTACTTATCCTCTGTACCTGGATACTGGGGCTGATCTCTAATAATCTCCTTCCCCCTTTTTATTTTGCTTCTTTTAATTGCTGTGGACATGCATGTAGAGTAAACATACTCTTGACTTTAAGGATTCTCATGTAAATGTCACCATTGTGTAATACCTGTTTTAGTTCACACATATATAAAATGGAGGTAATAATATTTAAGGCTGCTACGAGGATGAAATAATTTAAATATATATAACACTTAGAATAGTGCTTGGCACATAAGTGCCCAATAATTGTTAATTACTACTATTAATTAATAATAAAATTATGTATTGTTATTATATATTATTTAAAGAAATCCAAAACTTTAATTCAGATTACCACCTTTCTAACTTAGTCATTTTATGTATATTTTACTGACAGCATACAACCACATAACTTGACAAAGCCACCATTACATATTTACTTTAACTACAATAAGAATTAAAAGGACACTCTCATTCACTATTTACTGTCTCTTATTTTCACATATCAACCATGATCTGAGACTAAAGTCCAATAAACATCATTGTTGACTACGACACATTTTAGCTGACCTCTCTACTATGTAAGAACCCAACCATTAGAAGAAAGAGAAAAACAAACTGGAATCCCACCTGGAAGCATGCTCCTTTAAGGAAAATGTCAGCAAGTGTCAACTTTAGAATCTCCAACTGAACTGGCTGGACTCAGCTTATCAAATGATTCTGCTGAGCTAAACACAGAGTAGTACACAAGCTGTGTGAAGCTGCTTATGCTGGTCATAATTTATGATGATCAACGTCTCCCACCATTCAGGTTAGCCTCCCACTGAGATGTGCAAATACGCTGTTAACAATTCAGAATACAAAACTAGACAGTACATCAGGAGAACCTATAATAATTTATGGGTACTTAAAATGGCTGAAAAGGAACATTTCATACGCACTCACGTACTACATAACAACATTTTGGTCAACAACAGACG